AAGTGCTGGAACAAAATGTCCAGCAAAGTGTTTAGTGAGTGTTCGTCACTCCTTTTTGCACTGCTGCAAAACTGGCGACCTTTACATCCTAGTAAAGATAAGATCTGTGCTGCCTCGTGCGTGGTCTCTGTTTCCTCATTCTTTGCATCACCAGTTGATCTTTTTTCTTCTTTCCGCCTGCTTGGAAAGGTTGAGGCTATTTCACAGCTTTTACTGCATTAATGCACATGATTGTACAAACTGTAAAAACAGGCCTTTTTGAATGAATGAAATTCGACTGGATGTAAATAGGTCATGGGTATAACTCTGCCTCTCTTCTGCCTTCCAGAGCGAGTTCCCCGTCATGGCCCAGTTCTCCAGCCTGTCACCCATTCCCGGCTTCTCCGCTTGGCTTCAAGGCCTGCTCAGCCAGTGCAGGAAGGAGGGCCGTGCATTCGATCTGCTCTCTGAGGAAGAGTGGAAGGAGATACAACACGCCACCGATTCCACCCCGAGCGTGGATTCCCTTCGCAAGCTCCTCAGCTCTAACGAGTGGATGCGTTCAGAGAGACTGTGCGGCGTCCTGGAGCCCGTCCTGATGCGTCTGTGCGCCTGGTACCTGTACGGGGAGAAGCGGCGCGGCTACGCTCTCAATCCGGTGGCTAACTTCCACCTGCAAAACGGCGCTACAATGTGGCGGCTCAACTGGCGTGCCGACACCAGCCCCAGGGGTGTGGCCAACTCCTGCGGCATCATGGTGAACTATCGTTACTTCCTGAACGAGACGTCGAAAAACAGCACGCGCTACCTTCAGAATAAGGTCATCGCAGCGTCAGATCAGGTGCTCGGCTTCGTGTCCCAGTTTCAGAAGCAACGACGGTAACACCACCGCGTATCCGCTTGTTTATTTTCCACATAAACCTTTCACAATAAAGCTCAAGATCCTGTTGAGACTTTTCAAAATAAACTGAATCACATGAACGAGTATGCAGAGTGTTTACGGATGAGAAGCAAAAAAAGAGCCTCAGGTGCTAAAAAATAAACCGTAGACTCAAACGTTAGAACAGGCCTTTCCCCGCAGCACGCCGCAGCACGCCGTGTAATAAGTCCTCACAAAGAAAACGCCAGCCGTTACAACTTATGTCTAAAAATATATCGTTTCATCCATCCATCCTTCCGCTTATCCTTTTCAGGGTCGCACAATTGGCTAATTATGCTATTTATCGTTCTGTTTAATAATGTATACAGCAAGAATTATAATTAACTAAGTAAAATTTAATATCAAACACACATACTGCCCTCCTGAGCTAACGTAAGCTTTTAGCTCTAGCTGTCTTTAGCTTTAGGGATTTTATTTATCATCATGATAATATCAACTGCTTCA